TACTAAGTTGCTTGATTTGTTGAATTTTGCACAGGTCCTAAAGGGTCACATTGCTCTTGGAAATGCTAGATTTCTTAATAGAACAAGTGGTATGCAAATTTTTACCATTTTATGTGTCAAATTCTATGAATATAATTGAGCTAGTCTCCATTTAACATTAGAACTCAGCTACTTGTTTTTTTTTTCAAAAAAAAAACTTTTAGGTCATGCCCTCGATATTATTGCTAATTCCTTTGTGGAAGGATGGTCTTGATTATCGACATGGTACTGGTCATGGTATTGGATTCTACCTGAATGTCTATGAAGATATTGAGGAACTATCATTGTTTTCTTATTGCTTATTTTGACTCGATATTCAAGCTTTTTCCTTACGTTAATACAAGTGTGAATTTAAGTTGTGCAGGACCTCATTTAATCGGTTTCAGACCACAGGCTCGAAATGTACCGTTGCAACCTTCCATGACCGTAACAGATGGTTATTATCAAATTTCTTAGTGGACTATGAGATCAGGATTGCTACATCATTTTTCTTTTCCAATTATTTACAATTGATTGTGTTGAATCATTTTCAATTTATTTACTGATCATTTCAAAGCCATAAAGGTTCAATTCTACTTAAATATATTTATTATGGATTATGCATATGAATTGTTTTTTTTTCTTCGGAACATGGTACTACGGGGATGGAAATTTTGGAATAAGATTGAAGAATGTGCTTATTGTCAAGGAGGCTGATACAATATTCAATTTTGGTTTCTTAGGATGAGCAATTGGAAGACCGCACCACAAATAAATTAGTGCCAATTTTAATTCATATTATACATGTCCAAGAATTCTAAAGTCAGTTTTGCATTGTGTATTGATTTGTTGATTTTTATTTATTAATTTTTTAAGGTTACAATGTATACTTATTGTACACCACTCGCTAATTGTATAAGTCTTTTTTCAATACTTAGCCTAATATCATGATATGAATTCTTGTTCATTTAATGTAATGATTAAGGAGATTTAATTTTGATATGTTGTTTAATTTGATTATATTTTTTTATCAAGTGCATTATAGAAAATTGATATTAATTTTGTAGAGAGAAATTTTTAAAAAATATTTTAAATTTTTTTGACGAAATTTGTTTTCCGTCGAAAATTTTTACATTAGTTTTCGACGAAATCCATTTTCAGTCGAAAACCATCTTAACAAATTTCGACGGAATTCCATTTATTTTTCGTTGCAAATTTTTGACGAAATTTGTTTTCCGCCGAAAAGTGTCAACAAAATATGTTTTTCGTCAAAAACCATCACAACAATTTTCGACGGAATTCCATTGATTTTCCATCGGAAAAAAATTCTGTCGAAAATTTTTGACGAAATCTTTAATTTCGTCAAAAAATGGATTATCAACGAAGGAAAATTCGATGGCTTGAATTCCGTCAAAAATTTCATTTTTGATGGAATTTTTTCGTCAAAAAAATAGACTTTTTTAGTAGTATAATACCTTCTAGGCCTCTCCCTTATAAGAGATGACATGCCCTGCATTTCCCACTCACTCTCCATAGCAAACATATACTCAACCAATGGAGCCCGAGCTCACTAGCATGCAATGCAAAAAAAGATTCTTTATAATTTTAAGATGCTTATATGGAACACTAAAGAAAAATTATTTTTAAGATGTGCATATTTATAATTTAAATTAATTTCAAATTTAGTTAAGAATGACCTAAAAAAACGTATTTTATTATATTTAAATTTTCTTTTGTATTTAAATTTTAAATTTCAGTTACTTTCTTCTTGTCAGAGATATACAAACTATTAATGTAGCCTCACCCACTAGCTTAAAATTTTGGGATGAATTGGCTCTTTACATGTATCAAAGCTTCGGTGTCCCGGATAATCCTCAGGTAGGCTGAGCCTGATGCATTGTCCACCTTTCAAGTCTAATGAACTATATTGCTAGGGGGCGTGTTAGAGATATATAAAATCATAAATTTAGCCTCACCCATTGGCTTAAGCTTTTAGGTTGAATTGGTTCTTTATACTTCTTATCTTATCTATGATTAGATAGACAATAAATCTAGCTAATTGGATTTCACTAAAAACCAAAACTAATTGTATCATATTTGAATCTATTTGTTGTGAAGGTTCTATTTACCACTATTTTAGCCTTACTACTCTTATAACTGTTAGATTATCGTTGGATTAATTTAAAATAAACTGTTAAAAAGATAAAAAAAAAAAAAAATAATTGGCTTTGAAATTAACGGTTAAAATGATAAGCCTAAAATTGTGATAGGTATAACCACCCTCTATTTTTTATCTATTTTTGAAAACCAATATCATTCTTCATATCTTATTTATTTACTATATTTCCTTATAGCTTAATGTTATTAATGGTAAAACTAATATTTATAATAAATATTTAGAATTTAGTAATTATAAGAAAATACATACAATACCAATTAATCTCAACATTAATTTTTAAAGCGTATAACCATGATAAACATTGATACACTAATGCGTGCAAGGTTAACTATATTGAGGAGTCTCTGTGTGGAGATCCCTTTTTATTTCTTATGCAAAGGCCTGATATCAATAAGAAGTTTTTTGTTTTCCCTCTCTCTCAACGATTACGTTTGCATCTGTAACATGCACAGAACATATTACAGACAGCAATTTGGAACCAAGTTCATCTCAGCAGGATTATTTCATTTTAAAATCAATTTGACAGGAAATTATTATATTTTCTTTTGCGGGATGTGTACAATTGAGTGCCTTGCAAATTAATCTTTATTATGTCGTACAAATTTCTATGTTCTCCTCGTGCAGGAGAAGAGGGGAACTTCCTCCGGACACATTATCATGGTGTGAACTTGCACGAAATTGAAATGATACTAGCAGAAGAAAACATTTCTTGAGCAATAGCAATAGGAGAAGTGTTTTTTTTTTTTTGTTGGGGGAATTGTTTTATCATTTAACATAAGATAAAATAATTTCTTTACAAATATATTAAGCGGTGAGATCTATTTATATTTTTTCCCTCCTTTATTCTTTCTCTTCTTTCCTATATATGTAGTATAGGAAAATGAGATTGTTTTATGTTAATTGAGATAAGCAATTCTTTTTTTTTTAGGTAAACATAATTTGTGCTATACTCACACTTTAAATATTTTAAAAAAAAAATAAAGGCTCAAATTTGTGCATGAGTCAATACTTTATATTGTAACATGATAAAAGTATTACCCTCCCTTCTTACCTAAAATACCAAATAGCTCCCTAAAAGAGGGAGAGATAATTGAATGAGGAGTTGTCTTTTTATTTGTTCTTTTAGAAATCAATAGGCGTTTCTCTTACCAAACTAACATTAAATATTAAGGACGCGGAGTCCAACTGGCGTTTCTCATTATTATTATGGAGATTGGCTACTCGAGCTACCGTGAGTTAAAGCTCAAATGTCATATTCTAATTTGTTTAATATAAATGATAATGAATCTGCTTAATTAACCTGCGCTGATATTTTGGCTTTTCCTTTCTGTATTTAGGCATCAAAGAAATCACACGACACATTGACTCAACACTAAGAGTCTGTTGGGATGAATTTGTTTTTCTTTAAAAAAAAAAAATTCAATTTAAATTCGTTTGGATATCTATTTTTTAAAAAAGCAAAAGTCATAAAATATCCAAAAACTTAATTTTTTTTAGAAATTAAAATTTTAATTTCTAAAAAAATAGAATTAAAAAATTAAATATTTTTTTCAAAAACTAAATATTTTTATAAAAATATGAATAGAATTAACTTTTGTAAAAAATACTTCTAATATAAGAAATGAAAACTACGTTTTCTATAAGCCCAAACAAAAGAGACTCTAAATATAAAACAAAACATGTAATGCTATAGTATAAGTTTTTAAGGGAGAATATTGAGCCACATAGAATTATTTTGATGATTATATTTTTTTTTTTTTTTTGATAACAGATGATTATATTTTTAATACTCTAGTAATAACTTATCTTGTAATATCTTGTAAATATATGACCACTAATTGTGGGTTTAATATCTCTCATGTTATAAGAGATAAAATTATTTTTTATACATATTTGATAATTTATCTCCTATAACATTAGCAATATCAAGCCATAAAAATATTTTTTATACATATTTGATAATTTTATCTCCTATAACATCAGCAATATCAAGCCATATGTAAATTAAAAATATCAAGCCATATATGAGAAAAAAGTATCTAATGTTACTTTAGACAACTTAGTCTGATGTTCATCGAAACGACGTCGTTTTGGAATTGAAAAATTAAAAAATTAGAATGATAAAGACTATTATAACCTGAAATAAATTAAAATTACAAAAACACCATGATTTCCGTCCCAAAACGACGTCGTTTTGATGAACATTAGATAAAGTTACCTAAAGTAACTTTAGAAAAAACAAACCCTATATATATATAAATATATATGGCTTTTAATGTTTCTAAAGTGAATGTCGACAAGTTATCTACATTCGCTCTCAAAACGACGTCGTTTTGGGTTGAAAAATTAAAAAGTTATAATGAAAAAGACTATTATAACCCTGAAATAAATTATAATTATAAAAATACATTGATTTCCGCCTCAAAACAACGTCGTTTTGGGCTCACTGTAGATAAGTTATTTATATTGGCGGTAAAAAATGCAAACTCTCTCTCTATATATATATATAGGGTTTAACATTTCTCAAGCTGCTTGAGATAATGTTATCTCAGGCTATTAAATCATAACCGTACAAAGATGGATCAATTGTGATAAAGAAGAGAGAAAAAAAGGAAATAAATAAACAAAACGACGTAGTTTTGGGTAGTCAGAGATAAACTTATCTCAAGTAGCTTGAGAAATATTTTTCTCATATATATATATATATATATATATATATAAAATTGGGCAAGCAATCACTAATAATACTCATTACAAGTATTTAGTTGATTCTATCATAACACCAAAACGGCAAACCAAAACCATGTTCAAGGTAGCAAATGCATCTGAATACCTGGTTATCACTGGGGTTGGAATCAAAGACATACAACTTGCAAAGAAAGCATGGGTTCTCCCTGGCCAGGCATTCACCGTTTTCGACCTCTCTCCGGTTAACTACACCTTCGAAGTCCAAGCCATGAGCGCCGAAAAGCTACCTTTCCTGCTTCCTGCGGTCTTCACAATCGGTCCCAGACTGGACGACGAACAGAGCCTTTTCAAATACGCTAAACTCATCTCACCTCATGACACGCTCTCTCACCATGTCAAGGAGCTTGTCCAAGGTATCATTGAGGGAGAGACACGTGTCCTCGCTGCATCCATGACAATGGAAGAGATTTTCAAAGGCACCAAAGAGTTTAAACAAGAAGTGTTCGAGAAAGTTCAGCTAGAGCTTAACCAGTTTGGGCTTTTGATTTACAACGCCAATGTTAAGAACCTAGTGGATGTGCGTGGACATGAGTATTTCTCTTATTTGGGTCAGAAGACGCAAATGGAAGCTGCAAACCAAGCAAAGGTGGACGTGGCTGAGGCCAAGATGAAGGGGGAGATAGGATCGAAGCTGAGAGAAGGGAAAACGCTTCAAAATGCTGCGAAAATTGATGCAGAGACTAAAATCATACGGACACAGAGGCAAGGAGAGGGTGAGAAGGAAGGAATAAAGGTGAGGACTGAAGTGAAGGTGTTTGAGAATGAGAGAGAAGCAGAGGTAGCAGAGGCAAATTCTGAGCTTGCTAAGAAAAAAGCTATGTGGGAAAAGGCGGCGCAGGTGGCGGAGGTGGAGGCCACCAAGGCTGTGGCACTGAGAGAAGCAGAGTTACAGGGAGAGGTTGAAAGGATGAATGCTTTGACAAGAACAGAGAAGCTTAAAGCTGAGTTCCTTAGCAAAGCAAACGTTGAGTACGAAACCAAGGTTAGTTTATTTGTTCTTCGTTTATTATACAAATTGACATAAAAGTTTTCTGAGGTATATATAAATCCATCATTATTTTTCAACCTAGCCTGTTGATTTTATCTATTTATACGAGTAAATCATTGTCCAGTCTACCTCTATGACAACTCAATATAATAGTAAATCAATGAGTACCGAAGAAAATATAGTAACATCAATAAAAACTTAAAATATGATGTTGGAAATGAATATCATGCTGAATTAGATATATCATATTATGTAGCTATATGTATCATTGTCAACGATGAAACCTAAAAGGAAAGCGCGTATGATAATTTTTTTATTCCCCTTAAACACATAATTGGAAATTCCGGAATAGGTACAAGAGGCCAACTGGGAGCTGTACAAGAAGCAAAAAGCGGCGGAAGCAATTCTGTTTGAGAAGGAAAAAGAGGCGGAAGCACAAAAAGCATTAGCAGGGGCAGCATTTTTCACACGCCAACAAGCAGCTGAAGCAGAGCTATACGCAAAGAAAAAGGAGGCAGAAGGGCTTGTGGCAATTGGTCAAGCCCAAGGAGCATATTTAAAGACACTTCTCGATGCATTGGGAGGCAACTACGCAGCTCTAAGGGACTACTTGATGATAAATGGTGGCATCTTTCAAGAGATTGCCAAGATTAATGCTGAGGCAATACATGGACTTCAGCCTAAGATTAGTATTTGGACCAATGGTAATGGAGGAGAAGTAACTGATGGAGGTGCTGGTGGTGGTGCAATGAGTATGAAGGAGGTTGCTGGTGTGTACAAGATGTTGCCACCTTTGTTTAAGACTGTCCATGAGCAAACGGGTATGCTGCCACCTTCTTGGATGGGAACTTTGCCTGACAAAAGTTCTTAGCCTCTTCGCTTACCAATCACATAGCCTCTTCTTCTTCTTCTTCTTATTATAACTTGTCGGTTGGATATATATGTATTTTGTTAACAAATAAAGAAGAAGAATACGAATATAATACGTAGTATGAATATATAAGTACAAACACTAGCAAAAGTTTTAAGTACCATATATGGTTATTGGTATGTGTGTGATTCACAGGTCTTTACAATTTCAGGTTCCAGAGTTCTATTACGTTTTTAAGTTAATTTACTTATCCCCCTTCTCTATTTTCTGAACTCATCCACCTGTTTATTCAAGCTATCGAGCTTCTGAACTTGCTGATAGTTTATTTTCCAAGCAATAACAGCAAGAAATAATTTATCAAATTAAGGGGGAAAAAAGAAGGGAACATACCGAGTTGAGAGAGATTATTATTCTTTAGTTTTCTTAGTGCAAATTGACATTAAATTAGGTTTTCAACTATTTATCTCTCAGCGGTCCTTTTCATTAATTGGGAGCACTAAGTGTGTAAAAGAATTAAAAAATTAAATTGAACAGCACTTAAAAACAATTAGTTTTTAAAAATCAATTTTTAAACTGAACTGGTTTTAAAAAATGAATTCATGAATTGAGTTTAAAAAATCATGACCTGAATTGGTTTTTTTTCTTCTCTTATTTTTTTTATATATTTTTTCTCTCTTTATTTTTCTTCCTTATTTATTTAGTTTCTTCTTTTATCTTTATTTTTATTTCTTTAATTTTTCATTTTTTTTCTCAATATTTTCATATTTTTCATTTAGATTCAGAATTGGTTTGACTTAAACAGGTTCTAAACCGCGTTTGCGAACTAAACCGAACCAGTATGGGATAGAAAAAAATTGGTTCTTTGAATTTTTTTTTTTTGGAGTTAGCCAGTCCTAATTACCTTTTTTAGGCGAGTTGGCTCCCCTCTGATATCCCAACGAGCTTCGACTCTTTGAACCGGCTATGAGACTAATCCAGAGTGCGGGTGAGCAGTGACGACTAAAGGTTCTTTGAAACTTTAAACCAATTTGATTCAGTTCTTAAAAAATATAGAGTTCAATTCGGTCATACCCACTTCTAAACTTATCAAGAGGAGAAAATTTAGCATTCAGCAATCAGCGCAGGGACCACAAGACGGTAAAAAGATATTCATAGCGTGGCAGCCGTGAATGACATGCTATGAATAGAATTTACATCTTAAAATAAAGAAGGAAGCCAAATTTCTGATAAATACCTGCGGCAAATTTCAGATTTGAATATGAACATGTGAAAGGATGAAGGGAGCGACGATGTCTCGGCAATTCCCGATGTTGAATCATGCAGGGATTTGAATTGGTCCGAACACTTGGAGCTTTGGTCATATCTTCTGCATTTCGAAGATTTTCTCATACCAAGACTTTCAGATCACTTAACTAATTTTCGTCATTTCTTTCCTAGTTGTTTTTGTTCTCTTTTTTCCTTTCCTGTTTCTTATCCAAAAACTAAAAAATACACGGGCACATTATTTTCGGCTATTGACCCTTTTGTCCCTTATTAATTAATTAATAATCAATTTTCTCCTATCAATCTCCTCTTTAATCGATTAAATTGAAGATTTAATCGATTAAATGGTCAAAATTGAAAAAAATGGTTGACTTGAAGATTTAATCGATTAAATCTTCAATTTAATCGATTATATCTCTCTCTTACTTTATTTAATCGATTAAAACTTATATTTAATCGATTAAATATCTCAAATGAGCGTGAAAACATTGATACCAACTCGTAAAATGACAACTCTTAATAAAATGCAATCAGCTCTTATTAAATACAAAACACAATCAACTCCTATTATTAAATACAAAACACAATCACCTCCTATTATTAAATACAAAACACAATCAGCTCCTATTAAATACAAAACGCAATCAGCTCCTATTAAATACAAAACGCAATCAGCTCCTATTAATTACAAATCGCAATCAAACTCATATTACATTAAATTCAAAATTCAAATAACATCCAATACACGGAAGACTGATTGAAGATTCTGTTAAGTATTACATTAAATTCAAGATTCGCAATCAACTCCTTTTGTTTATGGAGGAGATTTGACCTTTGTTGCATGTTGCGACTTGATAGGAGCTTATTGTGTTTTGTATTTAATTGGAGCTCATTGTGTTTTGTATTTAATAGGAGCTGATTGCGTTTTGTATTTAATAATAGGAGTTGATTGTGTTTTGTATTTAATAAGAGCTGATTGTGTTTTATTAAGAGTTGTCATTTTACGAGTTGGTATCAATGCTTTCATGCTCATTTGAAATATTTAATCGATTAAATATAAGTTTTAATCGATTAAATAAATTAAGAGGGAGATTTAATCGATTAACTTGAAGATTTAATCGATTAAATCTTCAAGTCAACCATTTTTTCCAGTTTTGACCATTTAATTGATTAAATCTTCAATTTAATCGATTAAAGAGGGGCAGATTGATAGATACTTCTGAGTAAGGGGCAAAATGGTTATTAATTAATTAATAAGGGGCAAAAGGGTCAAAAAGCTCATTATCTTCTCCCATTTATAATTTAAATATATTTAACATTGACCTAAAAAAAACATATTTTATTATATTTAAATTTAAATTTCAGTTATTTTCTTCTTATCTTATTAATTTATGATTGCATAGACATTAAATCTAATTGGATTTAACTAAAAATCAAAAACAACCTCTATAATATTTGAATCTATTTTTTTTGTCGGGATAGGATATTGTGACACACAAATAATGTTACGCACAATGTTACGACCAAATCTTAACCGTTGATTTCCGCCAATCAACGGTTATCATTTATTGCGAATTAATAATTAATCAATGAGTTTGATTTGAAAAATGATAACCGTTGATTGGCGAAAATCAACGGTTAAAATGTGATCGTAACATTGTGCGTGACACAATTGTGTGTCACAATATCCTTCCCCTTTTTTGTCTACTTTTCAAATCATATATCATTCTTCATATCTTATTTATTTACTATATTTCCTTATTTAAATAAATTTCAAATTTATTTGAGATTATTAAAAAACAAATTCTTTTTTATTATATTTGTGTCTACCTTTAACTCGATTTTTAAATCCTAATTTTATTTTCAATATTATATATTTAGATAAACATCAAATTTATTTAAAATTGATTAAAATATAAAAAAAATTAATTATATTTAAATTTAATTTTATCCAAATTTTAAATTCCACTTCTTTACTTTTTACTATGTTAACGTTATCAATTCACAGCTTGAATTGGATCAGATAACCTTCTCTCTCTATAGATATATACAATTTCCTTTTCTTTGTTGCTCTTTCTTTGGCCTTTTAGAATCTAAGCCTTGTTTTTATCTAAAAAAAAGGTAATATTATAGAAAGTCAAAGAAATAGCAACATAAAAGAAATTAAGAGAAATAAAAAAAATCATTTAATTATACTAACACTAATACGACACCCGTGGACCTAACATCAGCCCCAGAAAAGATACTAAAGGTCTGAAATTCCATTAGCCGTAAACTCAATATATAAATAGTAAAGTTTACATGTATGACACTTACACTTACACCACCCCTTTCGCCCATATTGTTATTCTGATTAGGGACGACGACCATTTAGTTATCTTTTTGGCAAAAATTTATTGGATTGGCAAAATTTTTTGCCAAAATAACACGTCATCAAACTCACCGCATTGTGCAGCGAGGTTACATGGCACTATGTCAGCAAATTTAAGGCCACATAATCTTGCTGCACTATGTAGCGAGATTACTAGACATGGTCTAATTCGCTACATTGTGTAGCGTTCAATGTAACACAGTAACAATTTGACACATGAATTAAGAGATGAATAAATGTTGATTTATTTTTTTGTTTTCTTTTTGAAAAATATAATAAACAATAAAGATGATGGAGTGTCCATGAAAAAACGATAAATACGAATTGATGTCCAATAAATGCTGATTTATTTTTTGTTTTCTTTTTGGAAAATATAATACACAATAAAGACGGTAGAGTGCCCCTGGAAAAACGATAAAGACGAATTATTGTCCAATAAATGCTGATTTATTTTTTATTTTATTTTTGAAAAATATAATACACAATAAAGACGATGGAGTGTCATGGGAAAACGATAAAGACGAATTAATGTCCAATAAGTGTTGATTTGTTTTTTTGTTTTATTTTGGAAAATATAATACACAATAAAGACGATGGAGTGCCGATGAAAGAATGATAAAGGCGATTTAATGACCAATAAATGCTGATTTATTTTTTGTTTTCTGAAATGTCGAGATGGAGTATTCATGGAAAAATGATAAAGACGATTTAATATCCAATAAATGCTGATTTATTTTTTGTTTTCTGGAATGTCGAGATGGAGTATTCATGGGAAAATGATAAAGACGATTTAATTTTCAATAATTGCTGATTTGCTTTTTGTTTTCCTTTTGAAAAAATATCATACAAAATAAAGATGGTGGAGTGTCTAAATGGAGTATCCATGAAAAAATGATAAAGACGATTTAACATCCAATAAATACTTATATTTTTATTGGTCCTCTTAATCCACATGTCAAATTGTTAATGGCGCCACATAAAACGCTGCACAATGCAGCGAATTAGACCCTGCCACGTAATCTCGCTACATAGTACAGTGAGATTACGTGGATTTAAACTTGCTGACGTGGTATCACGTAATCTCACTACACAGTGCAGCGATTTTGGTGACGTGGCATTTTGGCAAATTTCTTTCCTAGTGTGGCAATCCGGTATTGCTAAAAAGATGGCAAAAAGGTCGTTGTCCCATTCTGATTAAGTGATCTAGTACTTAAAGATATCTAAGTCATAGATATCTTATCGACTCAAGGTCAACTCATAGCTGACTCGTTGCTAACTCATGGCTGACTCATTGTAGACTCATTACCGACTCATGGCTGACCCATTGCTGACTCATTACATTTTTATTTTCTTAGCAATTTGGGCT